CGTTCAATCTAAGTTCATTAGCAATATGTAGGTAGTAGGTACGCAATGTAATACGTGCAGCGTATAAAAAATAAATTTCAAAAACTCCTGCAATATATTTGAGATTTTCCATGCGTTTTTGGCAATTGAAATAATTATAATAATTATTTTGGTTTTTATTTTTTAATATACCTACAAGACTATAGTACTTTTATAAAAAATATTGGGTTCATGAAAAGTAAAGTTAACGTTTTAAATTACCGATCCATGAATGTTTTTTTATCAAATTTAATATTTTCTTGAATGTATGTTTTATGGGACATGCAAATGTGGAATTCACAATATAAAGTAGGCAAAATATAATTATCATAGAAGGTAGTACTTATAGCAAATTAACGCCAAGTGTTAAAAAATTGACTGCTGATGTTTCTAGATTACTTGAGTTTATAAAAAATGTAAATATATTTTTGATAATTCAATAAATGTACAGTGAACTAGGTTATATGTATTTTTAATTAAAATTAATTATTTTAAGGTTTAATTTATATATTTTTAAACAATATAGCATGAACTATGAATTATCACGTCTTAATTTTTTTTTTGTTTCTTACATACAGTGTGATCATGATAAGTTAGGTGTTCACACTGTATATACTTCACAATTTAGAGTACCTATAATTTTTATTGCATCAAGATAAATAATCAATAATGTATTTTTAATAATTTAGCCCTCAATTATCTGAATCGTTTTTAGTTTTATTGTAAAATTATCGCTAATTACCGCTATTTAATCTTAATATCAAAGTATAAACTAATACAATTATTTTTTTTATTTTATAAGTTCTATATTAATATTTGTAATTATAGAAAGTATCGATGTGAACTTTATATAGGTATAACAATAGTTTTTTGACTAAGGCCTAAGATATAGGATTAATGAACAAAAATAATGCTCGAAAAGCCACGAATGATGATGATAAAAAAAATATTGTATACAATTATGAGTATTAAAATATTTTTGTAACATGTGCTGTGTTAATTTTTTATTATATAATATTTTGAATATTGCAATGTAGATAACTTAAAGTCAATATGAAACGAGTGTAACAATTAAATTATGTTTAATGCATATGCTGTGCACTATACTTGTTTATTTAAAATTATGAAGACGTAATTTTGTTTTGATATAAATCATAAGCATATAATTTTTTTTTTCAATCAATAAAATTGGTTACTATTGAATTAATACGTACAATTATTTAAAAAGAAAATTTTAAGGAAATGACTGATTAAAACTAAACTAAAAAACTGATCAAAATATCATATTATAATTGAAAAATAAAATAATTTTTTTTTGCATATATATTGTAATACTTTTCTCCATCATAAATTCTTACTAAATATAATACTGATGTGCATAAAATGCATTCTTAGTTTAATATATGTAGTTATTTTATGAATCTTTACCTATATTAGATAAAATCGTTCAGATATTATTATCATTGTTATAGTTATTCAGTATATTATATTATTTGTTGTATTTCTAAGTGCAAAAGGAAAACAATTAACAAAAAAAAAAAAAAAAAAAAGAAGCTTTTATGTAAAATTCAATCCATCGAATAATAAAATAATCTATTATAAAACCATAAACTGGTTGTATTATTTGTACTAATCTTGTTAGAAGTATCAGAATATAAAAGTATAATGTTTAATCATGTATCTATCGACTTGCCTGCAGTGTCTAGAGTGCATAAATTTAATATTCAAAATATAATATGAGTATAGACCTACAGTAGCGTAACTCCTCTTTATGAACAGTAAGCACTGTACATAATATTGAAGATTTACGTACATTTACATCTTTACTTGACATATTTTCTAACGATTTTATTGGATAATTAAGTAAGATAATATCAATTTATTTTATTTGAAATATCTACAGTCGACTAGTGTCGCAGTAACATAATAATAAATTATGGTAGAGTCAAATTAAGAGACAGGTCTTTTCCGGTACTTTAAGCGAAACTTTGATATTTTTACTAGAAAACCTAAATTCTTTCTTCTGTAAACCATGTAAAACCAGAGAAATATGTGAATGTATTTTTTGAAAACTGTTTAATGATGGATATTTTTCAAAATTATTTAATTATGTTTATGTTAATGGATATAATTTGTTTTGTAATATTAATTTGGATTACTACTAAAATACATAAGCATGAAGTTAAATTATCACTTATTTTTTAATTATTTCAAAAATAATGAAAAGTTAATACAATTTAATGAATCAACAATTTTCTGAATATCCTAAAACATTGCTTTTCAAGAAAAAAATTGTATTATAGGTACGTCAAAGAATTTAAATATAATATTTATTAAATTTAAAATTTTTCATATATTTAGGAATTTTAAAATATAATAAATTTATACTTTCCAGCTCAAAATCTAACCTTTTGGTATATAGTTTTAGTTTAAAAATGTATGTACAAGTATTTATTTTATATCGTATATTAATTATGTTTTTTTCGACTGACTGATTGGTTGTATGTATAAAGTAATATCTATATTATTATCTTCCGTTATCTATGAATGATCTTTTTGCAGTTCCATGTATTTTTAAAAATTTAATGTTTATCCTAATCCAAGCATAAAAAATTTAAAATACAATTATATATATATATATAATGTATGTTAAACATACTATGCTTATACATACTTATATAAATTTTATATTATGATAATAATTATTAATTGAAACATAAATTATAATATCTAAAGGCTATATTTTATTTATATTTACAGCTCATGGTAAACAAATTTAGTTTACTAACTGTAATGAATAATAGTAAGTATTAGGTATTTCTAAAAATATATATATATAAAAAAAAAAATAGAGATTAGTAATAATTATTTGTATACGTCGATTTTTTTTAAATTCAGTGTCGGTTTTGGGTATGCATCTGATTTGTTTTGAAGGTCACAAACATTCATTCATCCGTATTTCCACACGATACTCTGATAAAAATAGTATCAACATTTTTTGTATGTTAATTATTTCTTACATGTTCGATTATTTCAATGCCATGACTATTATATACAACTAGAAATAAGTGATGCAATAAATTGCAAGTATTTTTTTCTTACGTAAGTTTTTCAGAGATCATCCTACGGTCACACGCAAGTTTAAGGTCTAGGCTATAATTGTTATAGTTTTTTCTCCAGGTTTACGAATACAATCCAATTTATTGAAGGTGATCGCGTTACGACCGATTTTACATCTATACCATTGATCTATTGTACTCCCTCTCAACATCTTAACCATATAAAATATTAAGTAGATGATTTTACAATAGTATAAATAATAACGTATTGTAATGAATAATTATTAATTAGTGAAGATTATCAAAACGCATATACTCTATAATACTTTTATAATAATAATACATAAATATAAATTTATGTATTTAATACCTAACTTATGTAACTGCGAAGTGAACTAATTATTACAGCATTAATAGCCTCAATTATGTAATAAAAATCTACACCTTGTAAATTTATATAGTATAACAACAAAATTAAATTACGATTGACGAGGCTCAAGTAAGAAATCCATGATTTATAGCGTATAAATAAAAATATAAATATGTAGGACGTAGATATCTAGTTTGTATTAAATTTAACCAGTAGATAATTAAAAATTCACAGATATATATCACTCACTGGTTATAAAATATACAATCACATATTCACATGTGGATGTTAAAATAATAATATTTACAAAAAAACCATAAATTATTGCATCACTCAAATACTTCACAACTTCATAAATATCTTAATTATTTTATTGTATAATCGTTTTAAGATTTTATATTGTATTTATAAATTTACTGTTCACAATAGGTATCTTGGTGTAAATGTAGATAATATGTGTTATACATGATAATTTTATCAAACCAAACACTAAAATTTGTCAAATTTATAACTGGTATAGAATAAAATTGAGTTTAATTACCTAATATTTAACTCTTTTATAACTAAAAAATTTTCAATAAGTATATTCAGTCCTTCACCTAAAAAAAAAAAAACTTTGCAAATAACGTAAAAATAATTAACACAGTGTTAATTTAATTACTTTCCGCGATTTTCTCATAGAATAATTTAATATTATGGTAATTCATTTGGTTTTAGCTATGTTTAAACTGGTCCGTATTACGGTCGTTTTATTATTATTAAAAATATTTAAATGCTATTTATTTTTATTCAAATAATTAAGATTATAATATTTCACAATTTAAATAACAATATTTTAGGCAAATACTAACAATACTAATATCTAATGACATGGAAATCGAAGAATGCAGGTTCGATATAATTCGTAAATAGAAATATTGTTAGAGGAAATTATAACTATTTGCCACAAATATTCAAAATTAGAGACTTTTAAACCTTGAAAAGTAGAATACTACAAAACATCGTATACGCATTAATAATTTATTTTTAATTTTTAAATTTTTAAATTTTTTTTTTTTATTGTTATTAAGTCGTCTCGGAAATATTAAAAGTAACCCGCCATACAAATGCGAAACGGAATGCAAACTTTCACAGTTCCCAGCAGAGGTGCCAGCTGTCAAGTCCAACCCTCGTGTATAATAGTGTGCTAGCTGACTACTTGGCAAATAATATCTTACGAAACTATATAAATATAATAACGTGTAACATATGAAATAAAACCCACCCATTAAATTTCTATACATATGTAGGCAGGTAAATCGGTTCGCCTGAGAGCTTATATTCCGAGTTTACGATCGTGTTTATCTCTCAATACGTGACTAGGGGTCATATGCCGGGCAATGCGCAGAGTGTATGAGTACGTATATTTAATTTTAATGGACATTATTTTATTGTGATCGCGATTATGCAACGTCGTTGGCAACTGGACGTACCGCGTCCTTGGAGGTCATTTTATTATTATTATCATTATTATTGTAACTATTATTTGTTTATTTTTTTTTTTTTTTTTAAAGATGTTTCACTTTCACTATCAACGGTGACCATCAACCACGACCGGACAAACTGGAGCTTTGTCAGATTGTTCACGAAAAGTCGCAATTAAGGATTCAAATTACCGTGTAAACCGCAAGCACTTGATATTTTGGTTATTATTCCCATCGATGGGTACACACGTAATGCGTGAGAATGATATAATATAATATTCACAACAAAAATCGAATACATTTTTACCTATCATTTTCTATAAGACGGCGTTTTGTGTATGCAATTTTAAGGTAAGGTTAAAGTCGACCACAATCATAACAACAACAATATAATTTCTATTAAACAATATTATTGTATAGTTTATTCAGCAATAACAATAACTTTTTTTTTTTTTGACAGAGTTTGTATACTACGTACCTACGTAGTATATTATGAACAATATATATTTATATTGAAAACCAGTTCGATATGATCGAACTTCAAATATAATAACGCTTGACACCTTTATACATTCTAAATTAAACCCAATTGCATTATTACATGTATGTATAATTATAAAACTAGAAACCTTGAAATCTTATAGTTAGACGAATTTGACAGTCGTAACAACTAGTTTCGATCAACTAGCAAAGTAGTAAGTATATAGTAAAGACGAATAAACAAATATTTATGTAATTGTGATAAAAAAATATTTGTTTAACAGACACTTGTTTCATATTAATTAGAAAAGACATATTTTTATAAATACATAATGTCATGTGAAATAGGTTTCGGATTATTACGAAGGACGTGACGGTTGATGTTGTTTATCAAATATTCCTTAAATCGCAAATAATTTTCCACGTTTATAATTTTATTAGGTAGTTATTTATGAATAATTGTGTAAAGACTAAAACACTAAGAATAAAATACAATAAATTGTAATATTCTATTTTAAGAAAAAAATAATATTATATCTCAACAGACTCTCAATCAAATTGAAATAAGTAAATATCGAATTTAACGTGTATAACAGTTTGGTTGAAAAATAAAAATAAATTAATATTTAAAGAGTAAAGACATACGTATACAACGTTATATCGGTACTATAAAATATAGTGTATACATCAGATACGTGGATAAAACTTAAAAACATTGAGTGTAATAATAATTAAAAAATCAAGTCTTGTTCGTATTATACGCACCTATCTACTGAAAATGGCAATTTAAAATTCTAGACAACAGAATTATATTGACCTAAACATATATTATACAAGAATATAACTTTCAAGATTTCACTTATTGTTGCTTAACTGTTATTGTTGCTTTTTTATTTTTATTACATTTATGATTGAATTATGATGTTGTCACTTTAAAATTATTGTAATATGTATTATATAATATATATATTTAATTTGGAGAAGTATTTGATATATTTACAAACGTAAGAATAATATTCACGAAAAAGCGAAATATATTTAAATTCACTTACCCTTATTGAACATTTCACTATTACGGATGACTTCTACAAACCAGCACTGATACCGTTGGTACACTAATATAGTAATAAATATGTTGGGTGCTTCTATACTTTCTTCAAGGCTGTTTTGCCCTACCTCTCTCATCCCTATGCCAAGATTATACAATTACGTAAACATATCTTGTTAAACAATGATTAACCTTGGAAAAATTATAAATTTTAATATCTAGTTCGATATGGTGAACAATTAATTAAATTGTATTTTAAAAAGATCTTCCGATTGTTTTACCGAAACATCACTGACCTATGATTATCCGATAGAAAATTATTATAAGAAAAGTATAGGATGTCTAATATAAACAATAAAATAAAATAAATGTACACATTTTTTTATAGATAATAATCGTACACAAAATTAGTACAATTTGAGTATTTATATCAAACATTTTAATTGTTTACGTTAAAAAGTAAAACCTCAACATTTAAGCTATTTATATACCGGGATATAAATAGCTATTTTTAAATAATGCTTTATGCTCATAAATATATTTTATATAAAAATTATTTTGATTGTTACATTTTTACTACTTATCTGTGTTTTTTTTATGTATCTTTAATCTAAAAGTATAATATGATATTAAAAAACAAAAAACAATTATAAAAAGATTATAAATGAGCCAATTAAAAAGTCTCGAAAAAAAAAATGTAAAAATGCCTTTAAGATTCAAAAAATAAATAAATAAATAAACTTTGTATTTTTGAAAATAAACCTAATTGGATAAATTTGGATTTTAAAAATATGATTTATTAATGTACAGTTACACAAATATAAAAGTGAAATTGTATTTATTTTTTTTAAATTGTAGTTTCGTTACTGGTTAGCATTGCAGGAAAAGCAGTTTTAAAAAAAAATTTAAAACTAATGAATATCCTAGTTCTGATAATACTGCGTAGGTTATACTAGTTTTTTATACTTGATTATAAGTTGCAAAAAAAAAAAAAAAAATTAAATATATCAACAAATTAGCAGGAAAATACATCAGTAAGTAAATATTAATTATAAAATTACATTTATTTAGTTAAAATAAATACAACGATTCAAAAACTTTTTCTTTTTTTAATAAAATGTGTCATTAAAATATCGTTTTGTAAATGAGATGTTTTTAAATACACGTGATTAGATATTTTACGAAGTCATTGGAAAATTAGCCCATTTTTTGAAGTTTAACGATGGAATAATTCCGCTACGACAGGGTGCTCTAGGATTTTTTTTAAGAAGACAAGTTAATTAAAATATTTTTACATAGTTATTATTTAATGAAATTCTAAAAAGCCTTAAACTTAATATAGTAATGCATTGTATACTAAATTTGTTTTAAAAATAAATATTATTTTGCTAAATGTACTAAATTCGATTAGCTTTTATTAATTTAAAATTAATTATAGTTAACTTAATTTAAAGTCCATTAGTATTTTAGTTTTTGAATTAAATGGGATAATATAGCTTCAAAATAATAACAAACTGAGAGGCATTAGAAAAATATTTTTAATTTTGTTTAAATTAAAATTATTAAAGTACTAAACTAATTATTAATTACAAGGTATTGAAGGTTACATTTACAATTATTATACTAAAATAAGGCGAACAAATATAGATATAATATATTAATCATTTAAATGAATAATTTATTGATATTTTTATAGAATTAAAAATGTAAAATGCGTAAATTAAATATACATTTTTTTATTACAGATTATAAAAATCCAAATTCTACATTAATTATAAAACATTTAATTATACCTACTGTATTATTAAATTTAAAAACAAAACAATAAAATTATAATGTAAAACAATGTGGTCTTTTTATAAAACATATTTATTTTAAATCGCTTAAAATCAAAATATTTCTTACATTTCATGATCAGGAAGAACGATTGGCTATAACTAAATAGTGTTGATCAAATCAGTATTATCGCATAACACTCTAGCTAATCTTGTTTTTCAGATTTCATGTAATTGATCTAAATATTATATAAAATCGTATTTTTAATATTTAATTACTTATTTATTATATAAGAGAAATATTTTTCAACTGAAATACCTGGAGTAAACAAGTTGGTTGATTTGGCAGTTCATACCAAAAACGATAACCTCTTCCGGCATAACTAAATTGAGTGGCTAAAATACAAGAAAAAACCGGACCTACCATGCTTCCTGGTAATGATTTTTCGGATATACCACCAGATCATAAATCTATATCTTCTGGAGAGCTGTAATGTATTCTATAAATAATAGCTTTAAACTTGTGAATTCTAACTTACTCGTAAATTGTAGTATATTGATGAATAGTGGAATTAGGCATGTCTTTAGATGAACTTTGAAATAAGTCAGATGCTGGTAATCCACAAAACTTTCTAAAACAAATAAAATTTACATTAATTACAGTAAAAATAGTTCAGTATAAACATTTAAGTACAAAACTAATTTTAGTCTATGACATGTTAATTAATAAAATTAATTAATTTCAAACAAGAAGTATAATGAAATTAAACAACACATACCTACGACAATATATAGCAAAATAATTTCAACTATACCTACGATCAAATATAAATATCATTAATTTCGTGATAGAAAAAGTTTTTACAACTTAATTTGAATTTTGTATATTTCATATTATATTCAAATAATATAATACATCATCTATGTAAGTAATGATAAGTTTCAAAAGAAATTGGTTGATTTAATGGATCAGTGATAAACAAATTATGGTTTTCTAAATGTTTAAAGGGACCATTAGTTTACTATTGATTAATTAAATTATTGAAATCTGGCATAAGAATTTCAAGCTTATGGCTATGAATACTTAAGTGATACTTAGATAAATTAAGGAAAAATTCAAAACATTTTTCATTTTTACAAATCGACAAGATAATTTTATAATTTAGTTTTTTTTTTAAATAATTTAATTTTTTATGAAATTCCAACTTTGAGTCTTATTATATCTTAAAAATATAAATGTATATGCACATTACACATATTCATATTAAATTTTATAAGTATTTAGTCAAAATATTTTTAAATCATTATACTTATTTTGTTTTATAAAAGTTTAAAACAATTAATTATGTGGATGCTGAATATATTATGATTTGGAGGTTGCCAATCAGAGATTTATTACTAGAATTATATTGTATATTTAATATAATTACTATGACGTAAATATTCAACTATAACAATATCCCACTCTTATTGTTTACAAACTAAATAATTTTAATTTCAATCAGTTGCGTTTGCTTCTATGTGAAAATATAATTTTTTATCTTAAAATCTTATTTTAAGAGCTATATTTATTAAAAAAAAAAAAAATTAAAATTATGGAAACTAAAAGATTTTAGCTAAACAACAGTATTTTTAATAAATAAAGTATTATTTTAATACATTTCTTAATTAAATTATCTGTAGAAAACATCTTACACTATAATCATCAAACAATATTTTACCTGTATTCCACGTATCCGGGCAAACCAAAGTCTCTCTGCCTTTTTGGATATTAAATGCTACTAAATCTACTCCAAACCTATTATCCGGTTTCTTGAACAGCGAATTTGTTACCTCCTGTGTTATTAAATCGTCCATAGCCTGAGCCACTTGATTAGTTAAACCTAATATATACTCG